AGCTCACTTGGCTATGGAGGCTCAATTGTCACCATGCCATCCTTTGAAACTTCAATCACCTTAGAGGGGACCTGTTCTCCTCTGCCATCTGTCAGCCCTCCCTCAGATAAACCATCCTCATGCAGGTCTCAGAAACCACTTCTCCAGTAGAGGAAGCCCTACTTCAGGGCACTCCTTCGGTCCATCAAAAGGGTCATAGCCATGTTGAGCTAAGAATACTCTAATTTTTGCAGCCTGTTATCTTGGACACTCTAGGATAAAGGAACATTTGTCTGTTACTGATTCCTGTCTCAGTGGCCTCATCTGAAAGAAGCCAAGGCCTGATTGCCTTGAAAGTGGTCTCATGTCATTATTTGGACCTTTCCTCCACTTGCTGGRCAGTAGAAGCAGTTCACTGTCCTTGTGCTTGTGCTGCTTTGCCTCCTGACACATTTCCAGAGAGCTTCCCTCCCTCCCAGGCAGTTCTTATTTTGCAGAACACTCCATAGYCCCTCCAGGCCCTTTAGGGCACTCTGGGAGTGACTGTTCCTGACTGTCACAGCTGCTCAGGAGATTTTTTCAGAGACAAACCGTCTTTTTCACTGTGATATTCAGAGTTTCCAGCACCATGGGCCCTGTCTTTGGTTCAGGCTGATAGGAGCTAACAAAGCACAAGTAGCAAACAGAATAAAGTTCATGGTTGTAATATTTTGTACAYTCCCCTCTCCATCTCTAGACCAGTTAGCAGCAACAAAGGGGACTTAATGKATTTAGTTTGTTATAAAGTTAAGAAATACTGCATTCAAGGGGAAAGGCAGCTGTATAGGACAGAATCACTCTAATAATGTTCATAACATACAAAATGCAGCAGGAAGACAATGAGTTTATAATTACCAGACAGAACAAATGTCAGATGACAATCATCATACATAATTAATTCCTTTAAAATGCTTATCATTAGAGATCTAAGAGACTGAAGAGACAAGAAAATCTACATAAAAACTTTAAATTGTTGGCCAGGAATAAAGGATGGAGGATTGTCAACAAAATAATAAATAACAAATGTCTTCTTTTTTGGTTTTTTTAACCATTTCAGATTTAACAATTCTAATGGAGAGGCATATAATGATTTAAGGCATTAATTATTTTTAATCTTATCTTTTTATCTTTTTATTTTTATACCTTATCTTCTATCTTTTTATCTTCCCTGGTTCTGTTGTGTTCTTCTTGAGGTGTAATGACCTGTCCCTCTTGTAAGTACAATGTGGGGACACCAAAGTTTCACACATCCACCAAATTATTCTTATTCTTTCCTCCTGCCTTCAGTTTTCATGAGTTTTTTTTTGTTTTCTTTCAGATGGCYATTTCATAACAGGATTGGGCTCTTATGGCTCACTTGTTCACTAAGCCTGTTTGCACAATTCCTCTCTTAGAAGTGGAACAGTTACGTTGCTTAAAACAGTGGAAATGTGACAGAAAATTGTCTTTGGCAGAGGGCAGGCATAAGAATAGTGCCCAGTCTTCTGAAGATATTACAGGATAAATACTAAAACCTGCATTCTGAACAGTCTTCACTGTCAAGTAAAATAATGGATACAACCTAGAAACCACACCAAAATGCAAGTTTTAAAATGCAGAACCATCTTCCAAACACTGTAATGAATGGCCTGTGTTCTGCTGCTGACAGAAGAGTATGAGCTGTAATTGATGAAATTTTCTCTGAAAAGAAATTCCTGCTGCTTCTCCAGGATTGTACAACAGCGTCTCCTGACTTTGTTATGGACATCCATGTGAAATCCAGCACTGGGAATGYGACTGCACAGCCCTTGGTCATTCACAAGATGCACATCAGTGTTGGCACCATCGGATCTGTTGTGGATCCAGCCTGAACTGGGCACTGGAGGGACCCAGGGTACTGGAGCAGGAGTGTGAAATGTGCCCAGTTCTGTGTCAACTTCTCAAACACTCTGCTGCAATGATTTCAACATTAAGTGTCAATTTATGAGGATGCTACGCTCAAAATCAATTTCTTAAGAACTGGCTGGGCTGTTGTTAGTTGTAGTGTGGGTGGTATATTTGTCTTGTTAAAGGAAATGCAGATTATTTTATAATTATCCCAGCTACTTCTGACATTATCTTACAAGCTMTAAATTCATGGATTAAAACTACAGATAGTAATTTCAGAATTCTCTGTGATGCTTCTAGTACTCTCTGGTGTTTGGTGACTCTGTGTCTCAAGGCAGATATAGATSAGGGCCCAAATAATTGTATTTTGGGGAAAATGTTTAGAGAATATGCAGGGACATATGGTAGTCTTGGAAAATTAAGCAGTCAAATAAAGATGAGCTGAAGATATAAATGGAGTTTTGGCAAATAAAGAAATCAAGATAGTATCTGAAGCAGCTTGTTTTTCTTATTTGTAGACATCTGGAAAATCAGTCGTATGAACTCTTCTTCCAAGTTACCATGGTATCCAATTTAGGTATTTCTACATTTCGCAATCATAGAATCTGAACGAGCTCTTTTATCAGATGTCAGCATTTTCAAATCTTCATCACCAGCACAGCCCTTCAGCAGCACATGAAGAATCCTCAGAGTGTCTGCAGTTTCTGTTTTCACAGCCTGTGCCTGCCTGGCACGTGTGTAACTTCTCACTTTGCATCTCTCCGCTACTTCCCCAGAAGGGTCTGCCTCTTTCAGTTTCCTCTGACTCCATTTTCCTGGAGTAAAATGAATGCAATACTCTTTACATACCTAATAGAATAAAGTTATCATTATSATCAAATATATGTAATAACTGTTTACAAACTATTTCATCATATGCATATGAAGCAGGTGAGGATTAAGTTGGTTCCTGTAGGTGCTGTATAGCTTATTTCATTAACAAATGTTGATTGAGTTTTGTAGCAATAAGCACTATATTAATGCAAATATTGATTAGCAAACAGTTTATTCAAGGATTAAYTGCAAGATTATAAGCCCATGCTTCATAATTTAAAACTTCTGTTGCGTTTTCACCGGGTTTTGAAAGCCTATTGTAGCAACCACAATGTTTCCTTTGAGGTTGTCTGAGTCTCTATTGCTTATTTTAGAGCTTCGAACTTTTTTTGGTGACTTGTTCTGCAGAACAAGAAATGTTAGATCAAGTGAGGACATGAACTGACACAAGGGTGGGGAAAAGGGAAATCGAGGCCACACTTCCCGCAGTCCTAGAGTAATTCCTGAGTACACTGGGTCAGTAGGGAATGTTCTAGGGAGCAAGTCAGGTACTTGAATACAGATGTCTGGTGGCATTTTAGATGTGAGTAACTTATGTCCCATGCCATATTTGCCACTCTTGTGTGTGGATACTTGAGGACACCTGCACTCATGCTGGATCCTGTGGTGAGACACTGAACTGCTCCACAGCTGGGAAGCAGCTACAGTTAGAACTCCATTAAAGGGCTAAAAAGCATATGGCAAATGAGTCTTGATTAGTACTGACAGTGGCATTTGCTTCTACAGCACTTTTCTCTCAGAGATCGTGGCAGGGGATGAGGTTGGACTGGGCTGGTCAAGGTAAGGCCAAGGGTGGTTTCCTCAGAGACCAGCGGGGTTGGGGGATGGCTCTGTTTCAGATTCCTCTTCTGCAAATGCTCTCCCCTCTCCCTTCAGAGTATCTAAAGAAACTAGTAAATAAAGGTTATGAAGGGCTGTGGAGAGGCTATGGGCTTGTTTGAGAAAGCCTGTAACTACAGGTGGGTTGTCTCTTCCCGCCGAGGAAGATGGTACCGAACTGGGGGGATGCACAGTGAATAGAGTAAGGCACAGCAGCACTTTTAAATCAATGGCTGGAGATGGAAAAGGCATTGGAGAAAAGGCATTGGAGAAAAGGCATTGGAGAAGAAAAGGCATCAGCGAGACAACGGGGAGCCCGGAGCCGAGCAGGTGTCAACCGAGTACAGCCGAGTGCAGCCGAACACAGCCGAGCTGGGCCGAATCGGGCCGAATAAGGCCGAACTAGCACTGCCGAGTGAGGCCGAACACAGCCGAACCGGGCCGGGCTGGGCCGGGCTGGGCTGGGCTGGCCGAACCGAGTGCAGCCGAACCGGGCTGGGCCGAACCGAGTGCAGCCGAACCGGGCTGGCCGAACCGAGTGCAGCCGAACCGGGCTGGGCCGAACCGAGCTGGCCGAACCGAGTGCAGCCGAACCGGGCTGGGCCGAACCGAGTGCAGCCGGGCCGAACCGAGTGCAGCCGGGCCGAACCGAGTGCAGCCGAGCCGAACCGAGTGCAGCCGAGCCGAACACTGCCCAGCCCAGCGCAGGCCCCGCCCCGCCCGCGCGCCGCCCCAGGAAGCGCAGGGTTTAGCGGCCGGCCCGCGCCGTGATGCATTGTGGGGCGCAGCAGCAGAGCCAAGATGGCGGCCAGCAGGA